CCCCCCTTCAGTTTTTAATTCTTCAGGACTGCTGTACAACCGCCGGAACGACCACATCCCGGGATTTTTTTTTTTTTTTTTCCCCCGGAATCGCAGGATGCCGGACGGGGGTACGGAATTTGGAGAGCTTTAAAATTACCGGTGGGCCCGGTGTCCGCTCACGCTCGTGTCTTTTCCTATTTTCTCGCCCGTGAGCTGATGGGTAAAGGTCCCCCCCTCCCCAAGGAGAAAGCCGTCGAATTGCGCCGCTCCACCGATACCGAACTGACACCGTCATTGGGTTAAAATCGCGCTGGGGCGAGCGGTTTCGGCGTCTGGAGCCGCGGGTGGGTTTTCGTTTTGTTTTGTGGTTTTTTTTGGTTTTTTTTTTTACAGCTCAGAGGTATCAAAACCTCTTTTCGTGCGCTAACGCGGGGCGTAAGGATGACCCTCGCCGTTCTTTCTTTCTGAACTTGTTGCTTTTATATTCGTCGGTTCGCGCTAAAAGGTGTGGGGTCGGGAAACAAGGGGGAAATGCCCAATTTATTTCTACCTGCACTTCAGTCTGCCCCTCCTGACTTGTAAATTTATTTAAAAATGCAGTTTTAAAGAGGTATACGTTGTTCTAAAATATTGGGCCGTTAATACTTTATAATAAAATGGCACCTTACGTTAATATAGGAATTTTAAAGCACCTGTAAAATTCCTTCATTGCATCGCACTGCCGTGTCAGCCCGTGCTGGATGCGCGGGAGAAAACCCACTTTTTAGGATCTTTCCTTGGGGGAAGATAGCAGTTTTTCAGTCGGGTGCGCTCTTTGCGAAAGGAACCTGGGCTTTCTCACCCCAAAAAGTGTCTCATCCTTGTCCCTCCCACCCACCCCCGTCTGGTTAAGACGCACGGTCTGGGCGTGAACTGGGTTCGAAAAGCTCCAACGTGGTCGTTCCCCCCGATAAAACGGCGGTACGTTGCTCAAGTTTGGGGAAACCCTGGGGGATTTAGACCCCTTTTGGAAGCAGGGTGGGGAAGGGGTGGTCGGGGGATGCTTTTACCCCCATCGCCCCTTTCCCCAGCCCGGATTGCCGGGGAGGG